CCCAGGGCATCAAATACAGACACTTTGGAACCCACTTTGGGAATGAGACTCAACTATCTTCAAGCCTCCAACCCAAAGTATCTTTATATTCTTCTTGGCTCCGATTGGATACAGAGGGACCTGATTTTTTCACAGATTATCTGAAGGAAATTTCACCAAATATGACAAAAAGGTATTTTTATACAAATTACCTGCTGCAGCTTTAAATATATATTTGTAAAGCTGAAAAATGGACAAAGCTGGCAGATGTTTTGCAGAGAGATAGAAGCTGACCTAACTTAATCCAACATTCATATCATCATCACACTAAGATAACATACCTCTTACTTTAGTTGCATGTTGCTTTCAACTCTGCCTTACGGCCTTAACTAGAGTCGGTCTAAAGCTTAGACCATCAGGTTCATGACTGATGGAAGTTCTGGAAATGAATAAGTAATGTCATTTAAACAGCAGGTGTAAGTGTAACAGCAGCAGTACAACCTCTAGTCCTCTGCTGTTGGCCGCTGAGCAGCTCGCCTCAGGCAGTCGGAGGCCCTTTTTCTCTGGGGCACCTTGACATCTTGCTGGAAGTTGTTAAAGCAGGAAGGAACATTTCTTCCTCAGCACACACACGTGTATACAGCATTACAGCTCTCCAGAGCTTAATACCCCAACACCTGACACACTCCCTCGTGTTGTTGTTGTTCCTACCACAAGAACTCCTGACTTCCCACATGTCCAAACCTATCTTGGGTTGGCCCATATAAAATTTGCTTCACCCTCCAGTCTTTTCTTGCCTTTCCTGGCTTTTCTACTTATTTATTTATCACTGCTCCAGAGCTCTGATATCAAATGGACCCTCTGTTCACTGCAGCAAGACAGATGGCTCTGAGAGATAAAGCCAATTACTGTTGGCTGTCTGTTAAAGCAGCAACTGCAGAGAATAGCAGTGAAGAGGAGCTCCAGGGAATGCAAATAGAAATCCTGGCTCTCCTTTAATGAAAAATTGCACTGTGAATCTCACATTACCTACTGCAGCAGTTAGTTATGTCTCTATGTGCTGAAATTACATGTGTACCCCATTCAGATGCTGATAGCTCAATCATTAATAACATTTACTGTAGCCCTCTAGGTTTTTACGGCTGCCTGTGTGTCTTTGAAGGAGGTATCAGCCCAGGCTATTACAGAGGAAGACCTCTTCATCTTAATACAGTAATTAACCTGCAGGTCTTAATTGTTTTTTCTTTCTTTGTTAAGGATGATCCCGGCCTCCAGCAAAGCTTTCTTGGTGACAAATCTGGTGTCGGGGACCCGCTATGATCTGTGTGTGCTGGCTGCCTGGGATGACACCGCCACCACTCTCACGGCCACCAATGTCGTAGGCTGCACCCATTTCTTCACCCAGGACGACTACCCTCAGTGCCAGTCTCTGCCCAGCCAGCTGCTGGGGGGCACCATGATCCTGGTGGTGGGGGGCATCATAGTGGCCACTCTGCTCGTGTTCATCGTCATCCTGATGGTGCGCTACAAGGCTGCAGACACTGAACCCCCGGTGGGGAAGCTGACCAGCGTCAGCGACACACATTCTCAGACCAACGGGGGTCGACTCGGTCAAAATGGACTTCTTATGCCCCAGTCTCAGTCTCAACCTCAGCCTGAGCCAAAGGTCAAGGCCAAAGTGACTCTGCAGGATGAGGTGGTGGAGTTCAAGTGTGGCTCCCTCCAGAGCAGCCTCACCTCTTCCTCCTCTTCCTCGGGCTCCATGGCTGGTGGCTCGTACAGCCCCAACAACACACTTGCCAACATTTGGAGGTCAGCTCCCTCCAAGCCCCGGTCCAACCTAGACCACCTCCTTGGGGCCTTCACCTCACTGGAGCTACGGGGGACGCAGGGCTGTGACCCGGGGTCCTCCAGTAGCACAGCAGCAAAACCCCACACAGACAGGGAGCCGCTTCTAGGCCGGACGCTGGACTCCAGACTCAGCCGGCTCCTCATGCTACCTCTGGACTCTATGCCAAAAAGGAGCCAGTCCTTCGACATGGGAGACATGACAGGTGCTGGAGCCGCTCAGCTGTGTAACAGACCGCGCAGGATCAGCAGTATCTGGACTAAGAGGAGCCTGTCTGTGAATGGCATGCTGCTGCAGTGCGAGGAGGAGGGGGACACGGGAGGGAGCAAGGGGACAATAGACAGTGCTGACTGGGTGATGGAGAGTACTGTCTAGGGAAGATGGAGGACCGTCTCACTGTCAAACACTGCCCAAATGGACGGCTGAAAACCATGCCAAGACAGACCTGCTGGTCTAAGAGCCTTTGTCCTGCATGAAGCACACTCATTTTCATCCCTTCCACTCCTCAAGTGAGACAGGACGAGGGGTTTTCACAGTCATAGCCAAATACAAACTCTAGGAATAAGACCTTTTGCCTCACCCGTTGTACAAAGATGGATTAAAATGGCTGATCAGCTGAAGGGAAATGACAAAACAGTGCTGTCTGTTTCAGAAATGTCCATGGACTGCTATTATACCGTATAAATTTAAAGTATGTAATGAATTTTTTTATTTTTTATTTTGCTGGTCAAACACAAATGATCCATTACTGGTCTCTGCCTTGCACAGAAGCAGGGTGTGACCAGCGGTTACACTACAAAATCTTCTATTGTAAATTCATTCATTTCAGTTACCTACTGATGCAGTTTAACCTTCTCCGACTGAATGGTGCAGTATGTATATGTAGATGTGATACTTTGATTCATTAAGATTTAAGAAAAAGATTTATTGAAAAAGTTGTATGTGAATATATTTAGTTTCTATACAGAGTGTATATTTGACGGGGTCAATAATTCTGTATGCTAATCATATCAAATCTTATGTGACTGCATAGATTATAAAACCCATCATCTCCTAAACGGTGGCTATACTGTTTGTGAAGACTCGGTTACTTGTTTGAAAAATGCCAAATTAATGAGGAGGGAACTGGTGCAATGGATAGGATGTTCAAATACAATTAGGCCTGTTTAGTTTGTGTACATTAGATTTGTTAGGTCCAGTAGCAAAATGAATGTTTTTAGAGGTTTTAATGTTATGAATTTAAAACATTAAAACCCTTTTTGTTACAGCACCCAAAAAACAAACATTTCTCCAACTTCACTGAAACTACACATTGATGGTGATATTGGATGTTATGGAGGATAATTCAATTTTATGACAACTAAAGTCTTGTTTTATCTGTCAGCAATAATAACACTCTACTCACCAAAGTCAATGACTTTGAGATCAGGAAACATGGCCACATTGCTCTTACGAAGGTCAACAGGGCAATAAACATAAGCAGTCAGACCCAAGCGCAACCTCTGTGACTGTAACAAAAGTAACAAAACCTGCAGTTCCTCTAACGGCCACTTGAGGCTGGCTCCAGAAGTGAGTCAATCTCCATAAGGCCCAATATTAAAATGTCCAACTTACAGCAGAAATTTACAGCCTAGTCATGTTGATGACAACTGTACGGGGATGAATTTTTATACAACTCACCTCTGTAAATTGTATCAAGGTGCATAATAATGGCGTGGCAGCAGAGGGACAGGTGGGTGTTTTCACAGGTGGCTGTTTTCAGTAACCAGGCTTCTTTCAGCATCAGCTCCACCCACTTTCCATTGTTTGGCCTATTTGTGGGTTTGCTGGGAGCCAGCAGAGTTAAAACTGCCAAGATGGCGACAGCCAGACCCAACCAAACTGAGATTCACAACGGCTCTTCAGAAACCTATGGGGGACTACATCCATTTTTAATTATACAGACCACACAGACAGGTTGGAAGCAAACCAATATTTTATCCAGATTATTTAAATCAAAAGTTACCAACCCTCTAGGACTAGTACTGGGCCCCAGAACATTTGCTATCAGGCTGCAAGGAGTAATAATTATGTATAGCCTATGTATAATGACTGTTTTGATTACCTTGATCTTGGGTTAGTCTGTGCTGCAGATTTCCTCAGCACTCAACCAGCGACAGTATACTAATTCTGAACCAGAATAGGCCATCTATATGTGACATATCATTAATCCTCTCAGATTATTTATAAAGGTCCACAACATACCCCTCTCTCTTGCCATGTTTCCTTCGGACTCAGTTATCCGTTTACACACTATATTCAGTTTTAGGAATCTATCTTTAAAATATAAAGGTCCACTTAATAAGTCAACTAATTTTGTCTATCAAGGTTGAAGTTACTTCATGTACTTACTACATCTTTCAAAAAGTCCCAGAATTTTGTACACGTCACATTTTGGAGCGAAATTCCTTGTTCTCCTCATACATTGGTCAGTGTCATAGGATTTCTACAGATGGTATTAAACCATCTGGGGGAGATATTGGTTTGATATGGGTTTAATAAGTAAAACTAATGAATCTATTTAATGAAAGTTCATTGTCCAGAAAGTTCTATTAAACAACATGTTGTTGTTTGCTTTTATCGTCAGGTGTTGCATGTTTCTGCCGAACTGACCTAGTCCAGTGTATACACTCATACTGTCATCTCTCACATGTTGTCTGAATGACTTTTTTGTGATATTTCTGATATGACTGCGTGTGTACAGTGTCTCTGTATATTGGATTTTTTTGTACCATACTCCAGTTGGAATATATGTGGCAGTTGGACTTTACAGTAGAGGAGGTGTGGGGCAGCAGCTTCACTGTATTGCTTGAGTGCAACTGTACACATTTCTTACCTGGAGTTGTAAATTGTGTTTGTGTGGTCAATTTGTTGTTTTTGCTACTAAGATAAAACAAAAAACTCTTGAGACAGCCGTGTCATGTCAGAACATTTTCTTTATCTCTGCAGCAGTTGGGTTATATGGGAACTTAAAATAACACAAACTATGTATTAAATACACAAGGGCTAACTGATGCACATAGGGAGCGAAGGCTGGCCCGTGTGGTCCGATCCAACAGACGAGCTACTGTAAGGCCTCAAACTGCTGCGAAAGACCAGTTAATGCCTGGTTCTGCAATAGAAACGGTGGTCCAGAAACAACCAATGCACCCAGCAGTCTGTTGGTATGGGGCTGCATAACATTATGACCTCAAGGGTGCCCAGGTGGTCAGAATGCTATGGCTGATCAGTGTATATACTAGCAAGCTGCAATGTGGGGGTTCAAGCCTTTTTCACTCACCAGAAGGAAGCAGCTCATTCGGCCAAATTTAGGCTGTGAACAGCAACAAGCAGGTTTTAGGCTTCACAGAATCAAACAAGGTCACATCAGCAAGGTGACTTCTGTTTAAAGGAGTGAGACCAATCCCTCAATCCGGTCTCACTTCCAAGTCATCAAATACTGCAAACTGGGTCATTGGGCCGCCGCTTCAAAATATGACACTGTAGGTATCCCTCTAGTGTCCAGTTTCTGGACGCACCCGTCTTGCCCTTGAGGCAATGCCCATCAAACCCCACAGAACAAAAGTACTACACAGAATGAAGAATATGGTTCCTTTGAAACTGCTCACAACAAGGTATATGGATTATCATGAGTAACCAGGACATGATTTTTGGAAATCCAATTTCTTTCTTATTGTTTTAATGTTTTTGGGATGCACCCTCTTAAAATATTTGTTATAGCATAACCACACATATCTGACAGTGCCAGGTTGTGCTGCTGAACAAAACCACAGAGACATTGCATGAAATAACCTAAAAAAGTTAATACAAGATGTTGAAAAGCTGGTGCTAAACTGCATTTTGAGCTTTAATTTGTGTCGAGAAGCAGCTGAAGGAGTATGAAGTGTTGGAAAAGTGGCAAATTATCAATGGGATTTAAAAGTTGATTGAAACTCAAAATGTATGCAAGATGTGGAACATTATCAGGTTTGAATAGAGTTTCTTAAGTATGAATGAGTTGATAAAAGTTTAAAAGATTATGAATAGTTGGCTGGGAGCTAAACAGCATCGCTGGCAGAACTTTGCATGAAGAAGCAGCTGAAGGACTAGATGATACTTGAAAAATGCTGGAAAAATGTGTGAATGTCTAAGGGTGCTTTCACAGCTAACATGTATGGTTTGGCTAAAATGAACTCAGATCCATTTGCCCAGTTAGTGCAGTTTGTTTGGGCTGGTGTCAATCAAACCCTGGTGCGGGCCAAACAACCGGACTGAGACGACTTGAAAAGGTGGGTCCCGTTCTCTTTCAAGCAGACTCTGGTGTGTTTTTTTTGTGTTGTCATATAGGATTTTATAGCAGATGTGTGATTTTAGCATAGCATTTTTTAAAAGATAAACTACTAATAAATCCATCTGCTGATTGTGAAATCAGTTCAGCAAGAAATTAATGTCAGCATGACTATTTTTCCTGATCAAAAACTGTTAAAACTGTGTGTGTGTGACAGCGATTCCACAGTGATAAGCCTTGAATTGTTACTGTAGACCCCTCCCTATATGATTATATATACATATTTGTATCATATGTATATATATGTCAAATAAATATAAATAGTTTTTCGTGCTTTCTACAATAATGATAACCCTACTTAAAACCATTTTCCTTTCATTTCCCTTTCTACTTTAGGTGCTTTATGATGGATAATGTTGTAGTCTGTTTGCATTTTAACTGTAAAAATTTAACTGTAAATATACAGATTAAATTCTTTTTTAAACCTGATGTCAGGTTAACCTAATCCTAGCCCTGAGTAGTGTCTGCAGGTTTTCCTGTCAGGCTACAATACAGTTCCAACAACATTCACTTATAGGGCAGTGTGTATGTAACCTGTGAGACACTCAGGCAGTACCTGCAACCGTTCATTTAGCTTATTGCTACGAGCCCATGCTAATAACTGAAGGCACCTCAGTTGAGTCTATCAACATTACATTACCAACTCTCTTCTGTCATCTGGTCTGTAGTAGCAGGAATATAAGAGAGCTATTTTAAGAGATTTTAGAAAAAAATAAAAACGTCCCCACCATCCCCAGTGGAAATTATGCCGCTGTGGCAGGTAACAGATCCAAAGGTGTCTCTACAGGACCTTGTATGGAGTGCTGACAGGGAGATAGGTCAAAGGATTATGGCTGATTTCAAGCCAGAATCTACTTTAAAACACTTACACAATGGTCAAAACAAAAGTAAAGTGCTGCTGCTTTTTGTCTTGTTAGCAAAGGGGTTATAATGTTGAAGTTCCACCTCAGGATAGCACTATAGATCAGGTCATTATTCTTGCACGCAAATATCCACAGCTAATTTCATGACAAGCTGCCTGCGGATATTTTAGCTGGATATCATCTTAATGAGGCTTATAATTAACAAAGGATCATGTGCATGTGTATGTTATGACCAAATGGGCATTAAAGGACCATATCAGTGGTTTTGCATGTTTTAAGCCAAATAACTACCTGCTTATACCATTCCATTCGTGCCAGTCATTCGTGCAAGTATGCATGGAAATGTACATGGAAAAGGCTATTTTCTGCTCAAATCCTACACCATAACCTTTGGAGGGACATTAAGGCACTCTTCATTAATACTATTGTGTGTATGTATATTCATATGAATATTGGAGTAAAAGTGTTTAAGTGCGCATGTTTAAGTGCGCATGCGCGAAAGCTGCGAGAGAGATGACACAAAATGAAACCAAACAAACAACAGAAAATGTGGACCAGTAACATGAATATTGATAATTAAGGTGATTCAGAAGCGACTGCATGGATTTTGTGATCGGTGGCAAGTAAGATTTAAAATATTACCGCAAAGTCAACTTTTAAACTCGACGATGCCCTAAAATCAAAAATAGTTGAATTCTCCTTAAACTGAATGATGGGATTTAAAGCTTACAGAACAGACACCAACCTCTTTCATGTGTGTGAACCCAGCAGGGTATGCAGCTTCCAGCCCCACTCTGTCCGTAGAGATGAGGGTTTCGGAAGGAATCCAGGCTTCTTATCTTTCCGGTTGCTCGACTGCCGCGGCTGCGGTCAGAACCGGTCCACAGAACGTATCACACCGGGTACCAATTTTCTTCAGGAGGTCCAGTGTGGCGATTTGCAACGTCGTGTTCGTTGAGGGCAGACCTGGCTGGAAGAATAAACTGTCTTGTCCGGCAGGAAAACTCTTTGAGCAGTTGGATTTACTCAACGTCCCCTTTTGGCGTATGACAAAGTCCTTTAAACTTTAACAGTGGTTTGGTCCCCTTCAGCTTTAATTCCAGACTAACTCAGCCTTCTCTCGTTTGAAAACAACTAGCGGATGAACGCTGGTCTGGTGACGTTTCCTTAGTTATACAATAAATCGAATATAATAATAAATAGGAGAGTTAGATAAAATTCAACCCTTCTGCTGAATAAGGCGACAATTACGCTGGCGGTATACTTTCAGATAAAAGTACTTTGAGAAAATGTACTTCAGCACTGCAAGCTTGTTAAATGAGAGTAAATCAATGAGTTCTTAAAAAATAATCAATAAAAAGTAAAAATGAACGAGTAAAGGCGAAATAACGAACGTGAAGAGAAGAAGAGAAGGGAAGAGAGAGAAGAGGAAAAAAAAATAGAATAGCTAATCGGAGTAAGGAGTGGCCCGGAGCTTATCCTTATAATGGAATCTTATTCTAGAGGCGGAAACTTGGGACCCAAAAGGGCCTGACTCGCGCGCGTCACGGTCCCTCCTTGGTGACCTTCCTGGGTTTGAATAGAAGTTCACACTATAATCATCTTTTAAAGTTTCTAGATCATAATTCACAGTTCACCAACCCTTCCACCATGATTTCGTACATAGTGTTACATGTTTTATCATAACATACATTCATAAAAACCAAACGTCCGTTTGGAAATAACCCTTTACGTTATAACCAGAATCTTACCAAAATTTTGGCAAGCTGTGGCTCCCAATCCAAACATTCAGACATTTTATACAATGATTCCTGTAACTCAGTTAATTCTTAAGACAGAAACATCAGACAAACATTACATTTGCGTTCCTTCTCGATTCTGGATGGTAACTATGTTTAATTATGAGAAAGATGAAATTTCACTCTTAGTACTTAATCAGGACCTAAACCATATCAACTGTAACGTGTTGCTTCTGCTGTAGACTGGAGCACAAGGCTTATCAGTATTGGCAATGTCGGGGCCCCCCACAATAGCTACTCCGTAAATCACTTCTTCCCCCCCCCAAACCAAAAACAGACAATGAACCAGTATACACGAAGATGTGAGATCCAAAGGAGTTTCTTTCTCCTGGAGGTACGATCTGTCAGACTAAAAGGAGTGTGAACACAATTCAAACGGACATATAATCCTTATTTAAGTCAAAAGGCCACTTAATTCATCAAATCTCCTGTAAGAAACAACATTCAGTTTTTCACGAAACCTTGAGCATAAAGTGCTCGCCTGTATCTGGGGAAAGAAGGTTAAAAGTCGGTAAACACAGACAGTCTTCTCCTGCCTGGCAGGCGGCCAAAGTCTTACTCTCCCACTTTTCCTGGTCAAAAAGGTCCAGAGAAAGAGGGCCTTTTTGCGACTCTCTGGTGGAACGTGGATACAAAATTAAACATTGAAATTATTGGTTGCCATTAAGAGACGAATAAAATGTCTCCTTGTAGATGAAGACGAGGAACAAGGGTCCTACACAAAAACCCTCTCAAACAACATCTTTAGAGAGGGCAGGAAAAAAAAAAACAGCAAAAAACTAAAAAATAAAGTTAAGAAAGTTAAAAAGCGGACTCAAAGCGGAGCACGTAACAGGCAGCAAGGATCATTGTCATGTGTATGTTATGGACCAAATGGGCATTAAAGGACATATCAGTGGTTTGCATGTTTTAAAGCCAAATAAGCTACCTTGCTT